ATCAAGAACCTTTGAAGGAATTCCTGGCTATTGATAAGAAGATATGTCCGAGCACGAATGGTTTTCCCTATTATTTATTATGTTAACCAAAATTTTTCTATGAAGTATGGCTGAGATGAATTGAAGATCTTATTTGGTTTATCATGGAATATGATCATGGGTTCTTTTCATAAAAACAATTAGGTATACTTGTTGTGTTCCTTCCATGGTGTCAAGGTAATTTGACTATGAGCGACTTATCCCTAGAACTCGTAGGCTTAAATAAATTTAAAGAAGGACTGAAAAATAAAACCACACATAAATTCTTTAAACAAGTTATATAAGATTGGTTAACCCTAAGAATGGTGGGTGGAGAAATGATCAACCATGAGCTATCACTTACCAAAAGATATCCTTCATGGAAAGCAAGTAGAGTAAAGGATCACAAACTCCTAACCGGTCTTGATCAAGTTTTAAAAAATGGATCTTCAAGCTAGTACGCCCGAGGAGGAGGGTCACTCCTTTAACAATCTTTAAATGTCTTACCTTGCTGGTCTAAAAGGAAAAGGAGAAAAATTAATGAACCTCAAGAATTGAGTCCTTCGGACCATCTCGATTTTAATAAAGAATTTGAGTTACTCAAAATTGAGAATTGAAAGCTAGTTAATGACCTAGCCAAAGAAAAAGAAAGAGGGAGAAAGGAAAAGGGAAGATGCTAGATCCGGAGCAAGATGTGGAAACTTGACAATGCATGGCTACCGAAGATGAACATTAGAAATCACTTTGCTAACGAGTTCAAGTAGAATTGGACTCAAAATGCATTGATTTTGTCAACCTATAATTAAGGTATGGGTGAGTTGAACTTGAAAATTTGAGGTTCCAAGTAAGAAAACTAAAAAAAATAATGTCAAGTGATAAATGTCACTAGATATTGAACATAACAACAACTAAAAATCGACATAGCAAATGAAAAAAGCATAAAGCCAAATCATCATGCTTAAGTAAGAAAACTAACATCTAAAAGGGGAGCTACTTAAGCAATCTTTACACTGGACTACCATACACAACAATTTAGCTTAAATTAGTAACGAGCGGGACTAACATTTAGTCGTAGTGGATAACCAAGCAAAATAGGTCTCTAAGAAAGCCATAACTCTATGAGAATTGAGTTTGGCCATCGATAAAGGTATAATGAAAGACTACCAAGAGTCTATTAATAACTATATGAGGAGATGCGACTACCTAATGTTTGAAATGGCTAGGTGAGGAAGATCTTTGAAGTTTAACTAAGTTCGTTACATAGTTTGTTTCTTTTTATATTTCATTTTCCATTATATGATTTTTTATTTGGTCATATAAAAGAAATATGTATTCCGAACTAATTTGAGCCCTAGTGCTTATTATTTTGAATATTAGACTAATAAAAGCTTTGACATCTTTTTTTATATTATGCTAATTCATCTCTAACGCGAATCTCGTCCGAATACACTAAGCAAGTCTAAGTTAATTTGATGATTATTAAATGAGAATGGGTTTTTCCGATGATCCGATTAATGTGAATGACATCTAATTACCAATCTCCACTTTTTGAAACAAAACAGACTCTAACTAAAAAAAAAAAGAGAGAGGAACATCAATTAAGGTCCGAGATTTTACTTTGACTCGGCTAGGAATGATAGGACATTAAATGACTTATATCTTTTTCGAAAATGACCTTCGTGTGTTTTAATAAAATATACTTATGATGAGGTCATTTTTTACGTAGATTTAGTTGCTTTAAAGGTTACCGATGGAATGCAACTCCATCTTTAAACTCATCACCTACAAAGGTAATCCCCTTTGTTAGAATCTTCAAAGGTTATTGATGAAGTTAAATTCTTCTTTAAACCTACTCAAAGGAATACAAAAGAATCGAAAAGTCAACGATTGAATCCTTTTGTTACCCCCACATGAAAGTTACCCTATATCTAGTGTCAATAGTTATCATTTCTATTAATTAATTTATTTATATGATTGTATTTTATTTTTTTCTATCTATGTAGAAATATAGGTCTTTCTACCAAAACCACATATCCTCTAAGAGTCTATCGAACCAAATTAAGAGTGAATAGAAAAAGAAGAAAGAGCCCAACTAGAGCAAACTCACAAACAAGAGATTGAGATAGTGAAAGAAGAAGTTGTAAGGTTTTCTACCTTACTCGAGTAGAGCATAGAAGCACGGGGCTATGTGAGGCCTCCTTATAATCTCGAGATAGCCCAGTCATCTACTACCCTCGAAGCACCATTCATTGTTCCTTTGCATATCCCTCGACCCATGCCCCTAGTGCCTTAGTTTTTCATGCCTCATTGAGAGAATGTCACCGTCGCCAATCTAGCCAATACATTGATGCCCGAAGATGTACCTAGAATAATTCTTTTAAAAACTCTTACTTTAACTTTACTATAATAATATCTATTTCGGATCGAAACGGACCTACTATTAATCCGACTACCGATGACATGGGAAAAAATGATTGCCACGTTTGAATGAAATAAGTTTATTACCATCGAGGAATGATTGTTAGTATAGGTGCCCAAGATATAACCTTGTTTGGATGGTTTGATTTATTGTAATATTATATTTTTATATTAATGAAAGAAGTATTTTTATTAGTTCTTGTTATTTATAATTTAATAGAATTAGATAGAAGCCTTTATGATATTCATTACATTAATGATTGATCGAAAGATGGGATACAAATATCAATGCATTTAAATGATATCATTAAATGTCTCAAGTCGTAGCATTGTCAAGAATGGACATCGACTATATACGGTAAGACTTGTGAGTGTTATACTCATGTTATAAGATAACAATAGGAGATCTCACACCTATTGACATGATGCATGATGTCAAAGCATGCACTTAGATGATTAATGTTAGAGAACATATCACTTGGACATGACTCGCCATGAGAACCCATTTGGTTTAGTCTATGAAAATCTCATACAAAATAGGTAAAGCTGGTCATTTGACTTGAAATCATTATGATTGTCTTATTAGAGAATATATATACTTTGACACTTATTTTAATGGGCTCGGTCAAGAGATGTATGTGGACGATTCATTGGATGCACTCGAAATCTAATGAAGATAGGTGGATGATCGAGATAGAACATATCATTCCTTATATGCTAAATGAGTTATCACATTACATTTTGATAAATTTTGACACAAGGAATTTGTAGCCATAGTAAGAGTATACTAATAGAGCATAGTTGGTTTACTTTAGAGCTAAGATATTTTAGAATCAAAGAAAACTTGTATGATCATAATCGAATAAAAAATAAACCAAGTTCAAGATTATACTATGATAAATTGACATAAGGAATTGTATGACAACCATGCTCGTAAAAGGTAATTGTGAATTAATTAATCCTTCTAGAGAATTGAATAGTCATGATGTCTTGCTAGAGGTCAATCTTGATTTTTGTATCAAGAGATAAAACATGTTTATTTTGTTCTTAATACATTATCAACATATCTAGGAGTTTATTGAGTCACATGCATAAGTTTAAATATTTATATGATAAAAGAGAAGTAAAGGTTATGGAAAAGGTTTCTTATTTTGAAAGTCTTCTATTTTGGTATTGCATTTTCAATATTTGTGTAGAGAAGGTACTATCAATTATGTATAAGAAATAAATCTACTTGATTTTTTTTATAATATAAGTTGGGGATTGTTTTGTCATTTAATTTTTCGGTTCGGATGGTGGGTTAGGTTTATGTGTTGGCACTTGGCAAGACATGTATTATTGTTTGAACGAATCATGTGCATGTGCATGACGTAGGTCTAATGTGGTCGGATATTGGTCAACATAATGAGAAAACTTAATTGTGGATTAAAAAAAAGGTTCGGGACCTAAATCAAAAAAATTAAGGTGTTTTTTGGTTACTAGAGATGAAATTACAAAAATCAAAAGAAAAATAAGGAAATAGTATTTGTATTTTTATTCTAATACTATGTTTGAAATAGTAACAAAAAATTATAATAAAATTTAAAATTTTTAATATCTAGTTTTTAAGATAAATAAAAATAATTTTTTTAAAAATAATTTCATCAATTATAATAGTAGTAAAATTGATGAGGTGATTGCAATGGTAGCAGATGGCGATGGTAGTGGAGAAAGAAGAGGTGGTAGTAATAGCAAACTAGTAGTATAGTAATAATATATTTTTAAAAAAATGATGGCACCATCATAAAAAATAGTAGTGAAAGAAGAGTGATGATGATAGTGGTTAAAGAGTGGTGATAGAATCATAGTAATGATATTTTTTTCAAAATAATAGTTGTGATTGTGATAACGGTGGTGGTAAAAATAGTAATAGCAAACTAATAATATAATAATAGTAATAATTTTTTTAATGATGTCACCACCATAAAAAGGTGGTAGTTGAAGAAGAATGATAGTGGTAGTGGAAGAGTGGTGATAAAATTATAGGAATAATATTTTTTTTTTTGAATTTTTTTATGACTATCGCCCATGGTGGTGATGGTGGTAGTGATAGTGGTAAAAACACTTGATACATAATAAATAAAAACAATATATCGCTAATTAAAAAAAACACTCGTTTTCATTTTTTGTTTTTATTCTCACCTCTCTAATGGCAATGAAAATATATTTAATTTTTTATTTTTATTTTCACTTCGTTTTTTTCAACTAAATACCTATAAAATAAAAATAAAACTTTCATTTTCATTCTCAATATTTGCAATATTCTCAATATTTCATTCTTTATTATCAAATAACACCAAGTTGGAGATTTTTTTTATTTGAACGAAGTTTAAGGCAACATATATATATATATATATATATATATATATATATATATATATATATATATATATATATATATATATAGTTCATAAATCTCCAAATTGTTTGCAAATAAGAGATTATAATACAATTAATGTCGGTTTTTGTATTTGCAATTGCAGATACATTTAAGCAGATCCAGGTGCGTGCAACAAATATAGTAGCTAGGCCCATTTTTTATTCCTGGAGTTAGGACCATTCCCCTTCATAGTTCCGAGGGCCGACACACGTTTGGACGTCTTATCAAGTGCACCAGATAACCACATAGCACCAGCCGAAACATAGCTTTCTGCTGCCTGCTCAGCATCGCAGATTGTTGATCTTGTTTGGTTTGCTAGAATTCTTCCTTTCTCTGACAGCTTGTAATTCTCCTCTAGTTCTGTGGTCTTGCTCAGCATTTCAATGCTTTTTAAAGCCACTGCTTGTATCGCAGCTTGCACTGCTGGAACAATTCTGAACGATCCATGGTTCTGTAATTGAACGACAGAGACTCAGTTTTCCAAATCATGGACATGGTTAATTTTGAGCTATTTCAAAATGATTACCAAAACTTTGGAAGTTCAAGGTCCTGCTCAAGAAAGTAAACAAAATTACCAAGGTAATTGCCAGACAAAACTTCTTGCTGATTAATAACGTCGTGGCCTAAGATGTCAGACCAAGTAGGACCGTAGCCCAATACCAACTGAAACTAGACCTACTAGAATTGGTTGTTGCCAAGCCAACACGATATAGCGATGTGAATATATGTGCATGCATGGTAAAATGCAAGCCATTTTAACATTTTCTGGGTAGTAACGAGCCTTTAATTGAAACTCCAATTTGGAGCAAGCAGTTGTCATCATAACACATCAGAGAGATAGAAAGTACCTTTCTTATATCTGGACCGGTGATAGGGATCTCTATATCCTGTGCAGGCAATATCCGAATTGGTCGCCCACCAAGGAAAGCATCCTGCAAACAGGGGTTTTCTACCTTTAATTTTAGAAATTACATCAAAAAGTTGATTAAGAGGGTGTTTAATATAGCATATGAAAGATATCGATCGTAATCCAAATCTACTCCTCAAGAGTTAGTTTTGACAAAATACTATGAATTGAATAAATATATTTGGCAAAATTGCTTGAATTTCTCTCTCTAGGTTTTAAGATGAATTAATCAAATCATTTTATCAAAAGTTAAAATTATGGGCTTTTGCTGAAAACAAACACTTGTGTTAATTAAAATCTATATATAAAAAAAGAAACCTTTTGGATTTAAAAGATAAATTCAACCAAACAACTTTCTAAGGGATTGATGATCGTTATCTTTGAGTTTAAATGAAGTAATTTAAATATAATGAAGTGGAAGGAATACCTATATATTTCAAGCAGTCAAGTACGTACAATTTCACAGTAACAACTCATGATCTCAGGAATACTTATTTCTTTACCAAGGCTTCCTAAGTTGGCTTGTAGAAGTTGATGAGTACTTACTCATAGAGAGCGTGAAGTAGAGAGAAAAAGAAAAACCTTTGATTCATCACCTTCATTGAACAGCATGAATATTATATTATCATGGTCAGATCCTTTCTTACATTAAGGAGAAGAGCAGTCTGAAAAGCATATGGCTGTGTAAAAGTCACTAAAGCGAACTGCAATTGGTCGTTGTCTCTGCTAAACAACCCAAAACATCAAATCATAATAACTACTAGAAAGAAAAAAGAGGAAGATATTGAGAAAATTAAAAGAACAAATGATAAAACTTTGTTTACTTGTGAAGCTCAATCTTCTCGACAGTTCCACAATAAGAGAAGAAGGTATTCAACTCTATGCGAGTCACACTGGGGGAAAGGTTGAGAACTTGAACAGTTAAATCTGACTGAACCATTATGCTTAAAGTTTCTTCTCACCCTAGCTTCCACTGAAATCTATCTTTTACTGCGCACAAAGATGCTCCCAGGCAGTAAACTGAAGGGATAGGTATGAAAATCTAAACTTGATAAGGAATTTCGAATATCTATTGACATGGCTCAAGAATAAAGGGGATAAAGATATATTCCTCTTTAAAAAGATGAATTTTTTTTCGAAGAAGCCCTCAACAGATGCATTCTGCATTAGTACCTAAAAGACTCTAGCATAACCACGTGTATAGCGTGTCAACATGACAGGAAAATCATTTCCGGTAATCCATATGAACGTACGTAGTAGCTATTATGATGGTGAACCCAGCTGGTAAAAAGCACCTAAAATACACAACTCAGGTTTTATTTTTAGCTGAGGATGTCTTCTACCTGCCAATGAATGTGCCCGCTACCTTAGAAACGTATCAACTCCAGCACTGAAAGAAAAACAAAATTCAAGAAGTACCCAAAAATTGATAATGAGGCAAGATACGGAAAGGATCAAATGATGTCCTTCACTTATATATTTTGTTGAGGGATCATTTGAACTTCAAACCCAAGCATCAGAATTAGGTATTCTTCAATTTGTTGTTTAATAAAACATTATGCAGACATCAAATGTACTTTGAAACTATTGGGATATTATCAATTTTACATTCAAATTATTTTTTTAATATCAAATTTATAATTAATTTATTTTGATTTTTAATTAAAAGCTTTCAGCTAGAATCACTTAAAAAAAAAAAAAAAAAGAAGAAGTCCTTGATTGAGAATGTTTGAAAATTTAAGAATAAAGTTGATACCCAAAATTATTTGATGGTAATATTAAGACTACATATATAATTAGATAGTATTTGTAAAGTTCACTCTTATAAAAAAACTAACTATTGTGAAATATATGCTCCAAAAATCAAAATTTTTTTTTTTTTTTCTGTGAAAGAAAATTGAGATATGAATATCAAACTCAACAAATTTCATAAGATATTTACTTTCAATAAGCATAAAATTGGCACATATCGTATTCTTACCTGCATGCCTATCCATGTAATTCGTTCGAAGTCCACATACGGGTCCATACAATGGTTAGAATGGAGGTTGGCTTAAAAGATGTGCCTAAAGATGACAATATTATATTGGATATGAAATAGTTATTCACCTTATCCAATTTAATCAATATTCATTAAAAATATTTAAGAAATATCGATATAGATAAAAATAAAAAAATACATATTCTTTAATATAACTCGTGAGTTTAAGTATCCACTTTATATCATTTTAATACCCATACTCACGATTTTTTTAGAAAAAAATTAACATATATGGAAATATGATTGTACAAATTTTATAAAGTAAAGAACAATTGTTTTTTTTTTTTTTACAAACACTTATAAATAAAATATCAATATGCAAAAAATAACTTTAAGAGCCAAAATGATTTTTTTCTTAAAAAGTCTTAAATAAAATGTTTTGATGAATTATTTTTAATTGACATAAAAAGAATATGAGTTTAGAGAGTAATTTCTTAATGGATATGGATATAGTCTTTTAATGGATATGATAACAATTAAATTAATGAATCGGATATGAAATATGTAATCATTCTATTCGACCTAATAAATATCCATTAAATATTTTTAATGGAAGTTGAGATTGTTAAAGATAAAAAATACATATGTGTTAATATAACTTTCGGATATGAGTATCCACTTTATATCCTACTAGTACTCATATTTTTTTTTAAAAAAAATTTAACTCGTAGGGATTTGATCGTACAAATTTTAAAAAGTAGACACCAAAATATTTTTGTATGAAAACTCTGAGAACCAAAAAAAAAAAAAAACTTATAAATAACAAACCAAATTGTAAAGAAATAATTTGGAGGACCAAAATAACTTTTTTTTTAAATTACAAGAATTAAAAAGGAATACTTTGATAAATTATTTTTATTGAGTATTAAATGAGTAATTATATTGATAATAAAAAGAGTATAAGCTGAAAATGAGTTTAAAGGATAATTTGTTAATGAATATAAATATCGTATTTTTTTTTAATGAACACGAGACAGATTGAATATCAGTCAATTACTACCCCTATGTATGAACTTCAAACATAATTTGGGTTTTATTTATTGTTGGAGATTCATTTCTTAGATTTCAATTCATCACATTTGGTCTTTACGCTCCATAGAAAAAGAATATTTAACATGAACACCATCATCTTCAACATTCAACAGCCTCAACAGATTCGGAATTGTGGACTGAAAATCCGGCCGGACTATCCAATCGAAAAATATCGGGGTTTCTTTTTTCCAAAAAAATGTACAGATATATATAACTTTTACGAGCGTTTTCTGGCTTTGGCAGATGGAAATCCAAAATCTAATTTCAGGGCTTATTATTATTATCATCTCTGAACTTTGACAAGGGGCCAGATTGAAGAAGAAAGCGATTCATTTTCAATGGGTGGGGGCCACGGCAGTGCAGCGTGATAATTAAAAAAATTAGTGTGTGAAAAGACAGTTGCCCTCCATAGACAAAGAAAACACAGTTGGTAATAAAAAAACTGTTTGGGGCCAAGACAGGAAACGAAAGATAAAAAGAACGTGCTACTTTTGGAGCCAAAGATTCTCCAAAGACACGTTGGGAGCTGCAATTGCATCGCTGTCCTGTAATAACTTTTTGACCCCTTTTTCTAGAGCTGTTCTCATGCACACGTCATAATCTTTTGATTAGGTAAATTAATTTGTTGCATCATAAAAACTAATTACTTCTGATGTACGTAGTATTGGAAATAAAGAGAAAAAATCCTTCTAATCGCGTAATCCAGCTACGTATTATCTCTGGAAAGAGATAAACAGGAGAGATCATGGAGACACTGAATGTCCTTCTGATGTTATTACTAAAATGGGTGACGCAGATTGCATATTGTTAGCAGTAGATTACAGAATACAAAAGGGTAGACTTAGAATGCAGCTTGCTTGTGGCAAATTATTAGCTTTTTATTTATTTATTTATTTTGTAGGGGGTTAGAATAGAAGAATTGTAACGAAGTTTAAGAAAAGAGAGCTGGATTATTGTTAGGATACCACAAATAGAGGTAGATTATTAGTAGTACCACAAAAGCAGAGCTGGATTATTGTTAATTATTACTATTATTATTATTGTTTTAGGACTACATCATTAAAACCGCCGATCCAAAAAGTTATCTCTATTTTTCTCACAAAAAATAAAATAAAATAAAATAAAATAAAAAATATCGCCACGAAAGCAAAGCAAAAACACGGCCCTTCTTCTTCTGTCAGCTGTCTTTCCCTGTTTTCGCCTTTCCTTTTCCCTCCGTCGCGCTCTCTTTTACCTCCGGAAGGGAGATACTCTCAGCTACTCCCTCCCTTCCTACCTCCTTCCAACATTTCCTTCCGTTGTCCTTGCCTTCCTTCTTTTGCCTTTTGTCTTTAACATTATCATTATTTTTTTTGCTACAGGTTTGAAAAGAGATAATAATTCCCTAGATCTCCTTGTCCATTGTAAATGAGGAGATCTGAGGGTGAGTGAAAAAGAAGTTTTTAGATGGGGGGTGATGAGAGAAAGCGAGGAGGAAGAGGAGGAGAAAAGATGTACAACACGTCAACTCCAATGCCTACGCACCAACTTTCCGATTCTAATCGCCGAATTATGGGTACCCACAAGGACAATAATGCTCGTATTCTTCGAGTCTATCAAGCTTGGAAAGGCAACAATGTAATCCTTTCTTTTTCAACTTGTTTCCCTTTCCCTTTCATTTTTATTTTCTTCTCATTCTGTCTTTACGTGTTTATTATTATCATGTTTTATGTTGTCTTCTTTTGTTTTTGGCTCTTACCTTGCTTCCTTTCTTAGCTTCAAACTAACTAACACATTTTTACCAACAAAATCAGTGAAAATTATTGGCCCCTAAGTATTTTTTCTTTTTTCAATTATCAATGTTGCTGCAGCCTAATGAATTTATGTAATCTTTTCACCAAAAAATCTTTATCTAATCATAAAACCCCATCTTAGTAATTAAATGTTGACATTAATGTTTCATAATTGGCATTTTGTGTTACTGACTGTATTAATAAATTAATGGAAACATCAATGCCAAGAATATTGGAAGTCATTGAGCATGTAAAATGCACTAATTTTTACCAGCAACTTAAGAGTCAAGACCTAATATCCAACTATCCAAGTAAAAATCACTGCTTTAGTTACTACAAGTGTTATGTCTGTTCTTCCTGTTTTGTTGTCCTTTGTCCATAATGTGCTTCCAAAAGGAAGAAGTTTTTGTTAACATATAATTGGTGTTAACTAGCAGAAAAATCATTTTCCTGCAGCATCTGCTGATTTTTCTTGTGATTAACTTTTCAACATGTTTCATTGGTTGAATCTTTCGGCAGTAGAACAACTATGGATCCTTCAATTTATTATTTCTTTCGTATAGAGCGGTGCGGTGTTTCATTTAATTCATGACTAGTTATGGCTATCAAGTGTGCTGCTTCATGTTTACCATTTACGGCTATTAAGCGTATGGAATGTATAGATCAACCTAGCAACTGACTTGATCCTCTAATTCTTCTGCAGATATTCTGCCTTCGGGGTAGACTTGTATTTGGTCCAGATGTCAGGTCGCTATTCCTTACAATCTTTCTAATCATGGTTCCAGTAATCTTATTTTGCGCTTTTGTTTCTCAAAGGCTCATTAACGACTTCCAACACCAGCTAGGCGATTATATTATAGTTATATGTCTCGTGTTGACAGCATATGTGAGTCATTCCTCTTTTACTGATCTTCAATTAGAGCTGTTTCAAGATATATTCCCATCACTTCCCAGCATCGACAAAGTTCTTTTTGACCAAAATGAACCTAAATTTTCCCATAAATAGATAAAAAGAAAAAAAGAAGAGATCATTGTAAATGTCCTAATAGGTCTCTGTTTCACCAAGTGTATCCTGAAACATCTTGGTAAAAGTGAAGCAGAGTAGTGTAAAGTATAAAATGAAAAGAACTGCTGAGCTTGATCCAAATTGATTTCCTGAAAGTAGTTATAGTTAAATTTGTTTATAGCTATTCTTGCCCCCAGAGCCACAATCTTTTGAGACTCGAGTTCTAAGAAATCAGTGAAAAAGGAGTTTGGAACGGCACTGAAGCCTTCTCAACTTGGCTAAATAGCTGTACAAATTTAAGTTGATTTATGTTTCTCATTTCTTGGAGACTGATATACAGTCTGTACAGGTCTGAACTTTGACTTTAGACAAAAAGAATCAAGTTACTTTGATTCAAAGGCAGAGGGAAGCTTGTCTTGCTTTTCCTCCGCTCAAGTTTTGATATGGAAGAATAATGATTATCAACCAAACATGAAATCATATGATATCTCATACCTCTTTTGTTTCTCTTGTAGCGAGCATTTTGTGAGCTAAAATAATGCGAAAGTCATTTCTGACTGACCTTATAACTTATAAGTTCTGGCATATTCCAGTGAATTTACTTGGCAATTTGGCTTTTGTCATTCGGTTGTCAACCTATTCAGGTTATTATTCTTCTATTCCTTACTTCTGCAAGAGATCCAGGCATTATTCCTCGTAATCTCCACCCTCCAGAAGATGAAGGCTCAAGTATATCTGCTGATTGGCCAGGAATTCAGGTTGCTGGCCCAAGTTTACCTCCCACAAAAGATGTTATGGTGAATGGGATGGCAGTCAAGGTCAAATACTGCCAAACATGCATGCTATACCGCCCCCACGATGCTCTCATTGCTCTATATGCAACAACTGCGTTGAGCGTTTTGATCATCATTGCCCGTGGGTGGGGCAATGTATTGGCAAGGTGTGTTCCAGTTAACAGTGTTTCTATCATGCATGTTTTGATTTAATTATGTATTTGGTTCTTATATTTTCTTGATTTTTTTCTCTTACCTTCACATTTTGGTTGAATGCATTGCTTCCTACAATTTTAAACCTTTTGGCTGTCTTAGGGCCAATGCCTCATCTATTAGTGCATCCTTCACCACCACATGTATTGGATAAAATGGTTTGAAATGCTTATGTAGTATACACCCAATGACAACTGAATATAATGTTATTAGGCATGCCACTCTGGTAGTTCATGGTGAGTGCATTTATAGTTATGCTCTTACTGTGTGTTACAGATACAGAAACCCCTGGCTTTCTTTGGGATTTCTTGCCAAAATGGACTGGAAAAGAAGATAAAAAGGAAAAAAAGATTTGAGCTAGTAAAGAATTTGTGATTTTCTTTATAAAAAAGTAGATACTTATTCTTGGAGTTTGGCATTGTTTAAGATTTCCTTAGAATTTCCAACCAAAATATTTGGAGGGGAGGTGGGGTGGGGTGGGGGGTGATTTCTTTAGCAGTGATGTGTCAAATCAACAACCTGTTAAATGATCATATTCATGTGAGTAGTTTGACGCTAGATCATTTGGCATGAGCTTTTATGTTCCAAATTTCAACACTCGATAAGTAATCTGAGATTTGTGTCATTTTTTCGTTCTGGAATTTGTTTTTCATTTTGGAGAAGATTTTTTTCATTATAGGATTGCAGAGGTATTAGGCATTCCTGGCCGTGTAATGCTAATATAGGTAAATAAGCATTTTTCAGTGCTTTCCAAGTCACAGTTTCCAGGTTGACTTTGTGGGTGTTTGAGATATGAGGCCTGGGTTTAAGAGTTGAAATATTCTGCAATCTGGATTGACTGACTAATGATGATGATTGTACTCAAGATGATTCTTTAATGCATTCAGTTATTGTTTGTGAAAATTTGGTTTTAATGGCTCATAACACTATTGATATCCTATAGATCTAATCTTTAAAGATTTTTCTGACTGTACTTTACTGGGTTTTGATGTAAAATGCTGTCCTACCTTCATAGGCCTAACTGTTTAGAGTGTTCTGTTGACAGAGGAATTACAGATTCTTTTTCATGTTTGTGTCTTCTACAACGATGCTATGCCTCTATGTTCTTTCATTCTGCTGGGTCAACATCAGGAAGATAATGGATATATATCATTGTGATATATGGAGGGCCTTTCTGAAGTCTCCTGTTTCAGCAATCCTGATATTATACACCTTCATATGTGCTTGGTTTGTTGGAGGCCTCACTGCATTTCATCTGTACTTGATATTCACCAATCAGGTTGCAATTTTCTCTTTACCCCCATTTCTCTCTGCTGTTCCAAATGCTCTCTCCCATCATTATGCAACTTGCAAGTTATGTTATTTTTGTGCAGACAACATATGAAAACTTCCGTTATAGGTATGATGGAAAGATGAATCCTTACAACCTTGGTTGTGTTCGTAATGTTATGGAGGTTTTCTTCTCAAAAATTCCAAAATCGAAGAACAAATTCCGGGCAAAGGTCCGGGTTGATTCATCTTCTGGCTATGCTGCTTCAATGTCGATGAGCCATGTCTTGAGCCCAGAGGTGCCAAAAAGGAGCTTTGATATGGAAGTGGGAAAACGACAAGCTGTTGCTGATGAGGATTTTGAAGATATACAAAGTCAGATTGACAGTGTTGGTGGATTGGAGAGGTGCGGAACCCAGCCAAGACACAGAAATTGGGATCATAAAGTCAACTGGGAGATAACACCAGATATAGATGTGTTGGCTGCTGAGTTTGGAATGGAACGCGGTTTAGCAGATAGGCAGAAAATTTCTAGTGATCATTGAAGTTTGTTTCAAGAAGTATATTATAATGAGTCGAAAGTGTTCTGGTCTCAAAGTCAATATGACATCTCTAAGGGGGCTGATTGAAACTGGTCACTGACATCGCCTTCAACTCAAACTGCCCGTAGAAAGGATGTTATATGCTTCACATATGGAAGGAAAAAATGCTCTTGTTTGCTTAGGTATGAAATGGTACATGCTGTAAATTAACCTGCTTTGATAGTTGCTTTGGGATTGTTGTTGTGCTACTACGTGTCCATTTTTCTGGAAATTCGTTGAGTGTTAATATTTGTTGAGTGGTGATGTTAGACAGAACCATTAGCCTCTTACATAAGCACTAATTCAGTCATTACTGGTAGAATAGAAGGGATACTTCATTGGAATGGGAGAACCCCTCCCTGTTTTCAGAAGGCGGTGTAACTTAAAATTGCTGCTTCTTCTTTTTTCCCACTTAATTCCTTATTACATTTTTGTGCCAGGTAAATATTTTTCTGAAGTGCAATGCATTTGTTTTCAGGAAAAATGGAAAATAATTGGTTTATCAGAGAACCATTCTGAAAACTGCTGAGAATTGCTGGTCGACAATAACTGGGTAAGGCTTCGGTGTCCTATGAGGCTCCCAAGTTTCCCACCTCCGTCGTGCGGTATCTTGACTCATACTGTGGAGATAAAAGCTAGTCTGGGAATTTGATATTGAAAAATTTCTACTGTCGCAACCTGAATTATTTTCTTTTCCTTCGAAAATGAAAAACGGGAGAGCTATGGTATTGTCTTAAATTCAATTGTTTAATGAAAAGGAAAAAGAAAAAATCGTTCTTCTTACCTTGTGTTTGGATAGGGAGGAAAGTGAAGAAGCGGAAAGAAAATAGGGAGGAAAGAAAATTTTTATTTCGTTTGTTTTGAGAGAGGAAAGCAGTGTAAAGAAGAAAAAATAATAAACAATCTATAAATGGAGGGATTTATTTTCCTCTTAAAATTGGGAGGAAACGGAGAGAAAAAGGTGAGATGTATCTCTTTTATATATATATATATATATATATATATATATATATATATATATATATATATTTTTTCACATTTTTGCTTTTGCCTCAGCCATCTCCCTCGTTTAACTGGTAAATGATAACAAAAACTTATGACCAACATGGATACTTGTCAGCACGTTTCAATACGGAAAGATTGCATGGGATATGACAAATATAGTATACATGACAAATATAATTATCATACATAGGGGTACGATAAAAAATACATTTTGTGATTAAAAAAAAGGTCCAAATATAATTTAAGTCTTATGAGTTATAACCTCAAACATTTAACTATACAAAGCTTTAATTAATTTTTTATAATTTATAATTTTTATAAAAAATCTATTAATCAATATTATGAATGATAAGTGATTATATACGTTTATATATATTTATTTATAATTTTTCACAAGAAGAAACATGATGTCATTATTTCTAAATTAAACACTTGTTTAGTTTTTCACAAGTACCAATATATATATATATATATTTCCGGATCATAAAAAGAAACTTTAGAAGATGAGATGAAAATTTTAGGGATAACTACAAATTAGTCCCTAAGAATACAGTTATATATTAACAAAATAATACCGAACCTTTATAATCTTGCCGATCGTTCCCAAATTTTCTTTTGTTTAATATATTCGTTCATATATACGCCTGTTTACATAATCCATAGTAATTAGGAAAACTAGTTACAAAAAACTTCCAATAAAGTTGAATTTATGAAAATAACTTTCATACATAATGTTATAATATTATATTTCTAGTTTCTGGCTAACAGAGAGGATAGATTTAAAATTTTGTTTTGTTAATTCCAAAAAAATAGTACCTAATTTTTTTCATTATTATTAAAACAATTTGTATTACATATAATATGACCTAATTCAGCGACAACTTAACCAATAACCAAGCCTTAATAATTCCAAACTAGTTGAGAGGTTGTACAGACCAATCTTAATATTGAAAAATTTTAAATTCTTTTAATAGTAGTGAGCGGTTTGTATTTACAAGTGGTTATGATTTTCGAATCTGTAATCGAGAATATTTTAATTTAAAAAACATTATTTATTATAAATATTAAAAATAAGAAAGCAAAGTTGTCATTTATTTTTGTAATAGTGGCCAAGTCAGTCTTTTATCCTAACCACTTATTCCAAATTCAAGAATTCTCATCTTAGTTTTAACTAACATGCAGATCTAGATGCCAAACCATCAAAAACCTTAAAATCATAACAAGTTTATAGAAGAGGGTAATTACCCCTTATTCGAATTGTTTTGGTTGAAATATATATATATATTTTTTTTAGATTCAATTAAATTCCTATATGTTAAACAATGTCAATATAATTAATATGGTCCCGTTGCTAAGTTGATTGCTAGTCAAACTAACTGGACCAATAAATAAGTAGCATGCGTTCATCTGAAAAAAAAGATATAAAAAATAATTTCAAATTCAAATAAAAAGGAAAATATTAATAAAAAATAATTTTTTCCTTTTATTTTTATTTTTTTGAAGTATGGAAAAAAATTAATGTATGTTAATTTGTTCCTTTTATTTTTAATTTTTTTGAAGTATTTATTGTTGCTCATTGTTTTATTTGAGAGGTGTGGTTTTTTATTGTGTTTGATATAAAATATCTCATAAAAAAGAGAGAAAAAAAAAATACATATAAGCTTTGGGATTGAATAAAATTGGTGTACTATATTGCTTGTGAATAAAATTTTGAATTTTTTTCAACATCTTTTTTTTAAAAAAAATTCTCAAAAATAAACAATTAATCTTTTATATATATATATATATATATGCCAATCGTTTCTTTGATTAATTTTGTTTATTAACATTTAATGAACTCAAATGGAGGTACCAAGTAATAGACATTGTCTAGGAGTTAAGGACTCAATCAAACAATTCAAAGATCTAGTTTATGTAGATTAGGATCCTAATGATAATCGTATTTAAGTTTTGAATTTTGCTTAAAGAGCATTAAAGTTGCTTTATCTAACCCCACTTACACACTTTACAAGTAACATTAATCTCTTTACTAATTGCATATTTGCATTTAAAGGTTAACTAGACAAGTGCTATTAATTTTTTTTTAATGTCCATTGTGCCCTTATATTTAATCAAACCTTTTCTCTTAAAAAAAATAAAATAAAATCCTTCTTTATATAAACAATTGGACTTTCCTTATTTCTAACACTCTTCTCCTCACTTTGTTTTCTTTTTAAAAAATATATGTAAGGTTTCTCTAATATTCTTGTCCCCTTTTTTTTTTTTTTTTTTTAATTTCAAGTTGAATGTTTGGGGCAATGGCAAACTAAAAATTCTTCCTTTTTCAACAGTTTTTGTTTTCATTTGCTTGCTTCTCTTTTCTTTCTTGTCAATGAAGGAGTTAATTAAAAATATTCAAATATCAACAAAATTATTACTCAATGTCAACAAAAAATTGAATTTTTTTAAAATATAAAGAGGTTATCCTCTAGAAAAAATAAAGAACACAAAAATACCGAATTTTTTTGTTGATAAAAAAAAAACCTGTAGATTGATAGAAGGATGAGAATTAAATTGAATATGGCGAAACCTCTAAAAGACTTGGCAATTAATCAAGGATTATGTTAATAAGAGTGTGAATGTGGACTTTGTAATGGAATATGGTTGTTTTAAAGATATAAAAAGGCTATATTAGTGATTTTAACTTTTAATGAAGAGTTTTAAATAGAAAATATTTATCGGATTCTATTTCCCATAACAATGGATAATAATTAGCCTCGTTAAATGCTTTTTAACATGTGCTCTTTGGACAGCAGCTAGCTTTACCCTCAAGTTTTTCAACATCTTTGACTCTGTTTCATACTTCCTGCTAGTCAAATGACATACTAATCTGCAGTAGAAGATGGGTCCTGAGAGATTTTAATTAACAAGAGCTAGGTTAGGCATTCAAAACTTTAAATTCGGCATTAAAAATGATCAGTACAAGGCTTGGAAGGGCCTTTTACACTTTCTCTAATTAACTGAAGAACCTATCGAAAATTTCTGGAGCTGAAGTTAACCAAGACTTAAAGCAGAAACTATTTTTTTTTCCATCTCTGGGAAAGGAAGTACAATTATGGAAGAAGCCGGTCCGCCTGTGCTACTGGAATCCTACTGGCTTACCAATCTGAATGCAAGTTTTGATGTGCATCCGAGTATCCTAACCCCATTATGTTGCCTTCATAATTTCGTTTCCTGCCCACAGCTGAATGTTCAGTTGGTGGTTCCATTCCTAGGAAGTCAACGGTCATTTTTTGGCTGCCTCCCCGTACGCTTCTCTGGACTGTGCACGAGGAGCATTTTCATTTTCTGTGTCCGTAAGGAGAGGAGATTCAAACAACCCAGTTCGAGAAACTGAATTTCTTGGATATCCTGGATCCAAGTTCTTATCAAACATGTCTGTATCTCCCAAATAAATACCGTTCATATCTGCAGCATGTGGTCCTATGTTGCTACCAACTATTGAAGAACCCTCTGGGACTGACCCAGATGAGTTCATGCTGGTTGTAGAATATCCAGTAAATCCTTTAAGGAGTATTGGGGCAATTGAGTTGTCGCTGATGTTTGCACCCATTACTGCAGCCTTTTGTAACAGGGCTGTTGCTGACGTATAATTAGAGCCAATTGCCATAGGAGAAGTGTTTGATCCGTCTAAAGAGCTAAAACAAGCCAGTGGCAGCGAAGTTCTTGGATTTAAATTACTTGACATCATCATCCCAGATGAGTTCAAAGATAATGGTCTCAATGCACTGTCAGAGTTCTCGCCAGAAATCGTGAGATTCATTACCGAGCTTTTATTTGAGCAAGCGTCAGAGCTGGGCATTGATGAACTGAAAAGCTCCTGTGCTTGGTTCTGTAACATTCCTCCTGTGGCAACCAGATTCTGGTTCACTTTGTAATTCTCCTCTGCCAAAGCATCACAGAAGGCTCTGTGTGTGACGAAGCTGTCCTTCCTGCACAAAATATTGATGAAGGTATCACCACACTTTTTTCTTGTAATCTTCCGTCTCTATTTTCTGCATCCTCAATTCCTCATCATTGCACATCCTATTTGTTTTTTTGTTTTGTTCAATTTTGTTAAGACTAAAACTTGCACGATAACATACATCATAATTTGATCTTTCCACGGCTGAATAAATTATAACGCACATAAAAGCATTGAATTTCACCTTGAGAAAATTGTACCGCAATCACAACGATACTCTCGGGTTCCACATATCTTGGCGTGTGCCTTCCAGTCTGATTGAACAGCATACCTTTTTGAGCACTTGTCACACTTCCATTTCTTCTCTCCATGCTTTCTGCAGAAATGCTTCTTTATGCCAGTTAAGTCACCGAGAGCCCGACTTGGATCATGATGGACACAAGTTGGCTCAGGGCAAATATACACCCTCTTCTTAACCTGTGTGTTCTGCCTTTGCTTGAGTTTCCAGGGCAAGTTGTGTCCTCTCCTGTGAAGCTGAAGATTCTGATCTCTCTGGAATCCTTTATGACACACCTCACAAATGTACCTATTCGTTGCCATTAAAGTCCTCGGTGATAATGCTACAACCTCTGCATCTGGGTCTGAAAAGTTGCATTGACAAGAACAAGAAGTTGTTAGTTTGACAATTGGCTAGCTTTAGTGACTCAAATAAATAATTCAGCAAATGCAGTTCTGCAGGTTTTGCTTGGGAGTCCTCCGAATGAATCTTTATCGGATAAATAGAGACTTCCACCTGGTGATAACTTCATTGAAATTAATTCCCTTCTTTTTATGGGGCTATGATCAGTTTCCTGGAGAACTGAATATGGTATTGTTACCATTAAATGACTGGAAGGATCAGCAAGTCCAATTTGCCTCTTGATCCTTTTTATCTCTTTGGATATGTGAATATATTTTAAATGCAAGACTACTTAAAATAGACATGGAATTATCATCTTAGTTATTAAAATAAAGATATATGTGATGTTTTGCAACAATTTCTTCAGAAATTAACAAAATAATCTGGAACTATCAAGTTTGAAACAAATTAAATTGAAAATCTATGAACCGAACTAGATAAGGTTGCTTGTGAGAACTGAGCTCTGAAAGAAATGAAAAGGCTGAAAAAACTGGAAATATATATATATATATATATAGGACACGTCCCAAAAAAGTACCCATGATGATAAAAAAGGATGATTGGATTGCTAAGGCTTAAGAGAATCATGTCATTAGAAAAAAAAATTGTATGACATGACTATTACTTGAAACCTGTATTAAAAATGTTTCGAGAGGTAAAGTTTATAGGCTTCAATATTTTTGCACGAGGTAGCTGCTCTCAAGACTCCGACCTGCACCCTTATGGCCAAGAGCCCAAGAATTCCACCACTTACATTACACCAAACGTTCTCCTTCTGAAATCTGTCAATATTGGACTTTTTATTCGATAAGAAAAACTGTCAATTCAACAACGAGTGCAACAATCAACATTGTTAAGACTGTTACGATTATCTAGGGTGAGTGTTGTGTATGTTTTCTAAAAGAGCTGCTACTATGTTACCGTCTTGAAATGAAATATCCATGGCATTTAGACAAACTAATAATAATAATAATAAAGAGAGTTTTCTTGCCTGGATTTCCGGGAAGATTCCTTTTCTTTTTTGAGGTCGTAGAAGTGGTAGGAGTTGAACCACAGTTTTCAGTAGGATTGGGACTGCCAATAGAGGACTGCGAGGCACCGGCGCTATGGAACTGTTCATCTTCTTCGAAATCCTGAACAAAGTTTGACATTTTTTAAATGCTCTGATCCTCTTCCAAGTTTGGGTTGTAGGGAGCTAATAATATATGCCGAAGGAAGGTGAAGTTTTGGTAGCAGACAAAAAGAAGAAGAAATTCCATACCAAACTCAATCAAAGACCATTGTCCATTTATTAATATTAAAAGTTGAAATAGAATCATTTTTTCATGATCAAAATTTCATTTAGAATTCTTTGATAACGACATGATCCTATCAAATCTTATTAGCTATTATCAAATATCAATTAAAATAGATTTGTCAGATGTTTCTATTTGTCCCGTTTGAAAGGTGTAGCAATCACGATCAACTTTCCTGTAAGAAATAGCCCTGGAGAGTCCTTAAATTTGGATAATCAAGTTGATTGTAAAAATATTTATGATCTTTAGAGATACAAGAATTCGAACCATGTCAAACCTGAAGTCACTGCAGCATATGGCATTGCAGTTTACGGATGTAAATCATTCAAAGGCATTTGTCGTTTATGTCTTGGCATTACAATTCGTTGTGTACACATTAGAAAAGACACGGGAGAGGATGCCAGAAGAAGAGATCTGTATAAAAAGACAACATAGGCCATCTACACTAATTATATAACATGTTAATCTCCACCTTCTACCATAATCCACCTAGATTCCCATTACCGTTTGGCATGCAAGTAGTTGTCATTTCTAGTTGTCACTAAGTACTGCCTTCGAGTGAGTTCATACATCAAATTCATATACAATGGGGAGAAGTTTCAGACTTATTGCCTGACCAGTTACTTTCCAACTGTTTCTGAGGTTTAATAATGTCCGGGAACAGGGAACATTTCTACATATCGAAAATATCAAAGCTTATTCCATGTAGTTAGCCCTAAATACAAATGGGGTCTACTAGTAACTTCCACAACAACAACAAAATTGAGGTGTCGAAGAATGGCTCAAACAAAAATAGATCCAAACAAGTACGATTTTTGGTCACTGGGGAAGTTAAAGGATTGATCCTGTTGTTGACAGGTGGTGTACAGTTTTGAAACGTTCGCTTACTTATATCTTCAAGTAAAACCAAAATCATCAGTCTTGATTTCATCCTGGATTAGTTTCTCAGCTTTCAGCAGTAAGTTCTTTGGTGAGCAACAAATGTTTCAGGTTTCTTTTCCTACCTGGGAAAGAGTTCGAAATTTTATTTTATTTTTTCCTTTTTGTGAGATCAGAGGTGATAGCATTAATGTTTAGAAAATATACAACCAAAAAAGGAGAGCTGGCGATTGTAAATTAGGGAAGGTGACCGTGTGTTTGTAATGGATTATAGATTCTGTTCGATGATGTCGTTTGACAATAGTACATGCACAAAATATAATGGCGTCACCGGTTTCATCATTCTATTATTCTAAAGCTTCACAAAACAACAAATTCTATATCTGGAGAAGAACCTCCCTGATATATAAAGGGAAACAGCAAGCTCTGGACTCTTTCCTTCTTGCCTTGCAACTTGCACATTACTGTTGAAATTTTAAAATTTCACCCACGCAAGCTATTCTTTGCATCTTACTATCTAAAAGGGATGGCGTCTAGTAATTGAGCAAATATATCAATATAAATTAACTTCAAGAATCAGAATCCGCCCCCGCCTTTGGGCGCGTTCGGCAGGTCCATCAAGATGCCGGGTCATCTGGTACCATCATGTATTATCTCTGGTTTTTCTAATATTAGGATTAAATAAGATCGTTGACATGGTTGAGGTTGAGACAAGTGAGGAGATAATGTTGGAAAAGTCAAAAGCCCAAATTGAAGGAGATTGAAAAGTTTGTATGGAAATGAAGACCGATTTGTTCTGCACTTTTGTGGGTCTTGTTGGTCTGCTAAAGGCCTCAACTTTATTCATCTGGGCCTGGGTATGATTTGCTATCGTTGAGGTCAGTTAGTATGGGTCTGAGCAGGTTCCAGTTCCAAAAAGAGAGGCTCGTCCTAATTTTGCTTTCATTAAAAAAAAAAAAAAAGAAGGTTTTTTCTAGGAAAACTAATAATAAAAAAGTAAAATGATTAAAAAAATAAAAAATTAATAAAAATAATTATATGTTTTAAATGAAGAAATTCAAACTTAGTTTATAGGCGTTCCATATTATAGAAACATAAGAGTAGATTATTATCTGATCCATGTGGTTTTAGGGAAATAATTATTATTTTTTTATCTAAAAGCATAATATTCAGTTTTTACATTTTCATATTTATTTGTAACTTGGTCTTTTTGATGGTATTTCAAGATAATTTTAATTATTTTTTTTCTAAAATATCCTTTATTTCTAATCAAATTTTCCAACCTCCATGGTGGACCTTCCACATCGCGTACTCCATGGCTGCTGAGCAAGCACCAGATGTAAAAAACCCAATGGTTGGAACCTCAAACTTTTCAAAAATTTCAAGAGTCCAGTCCATCATTACATCAACAACAACGCAAACGGGTAGTCTTGACTCCGGATACTGTGACCGAGTTGAAATGAGGTTTTCAAGGCCTTGTGCCATCTGGTTGTGGTGCTTATGGGAAGGGAAACGCGGGTCGGGTCCTGGCTGCTGCAAAGGTGGCGGAGAAGAGGGTAATTCAGCTATTTCAAGAAGTGGATGGTGAAGAGAGGAGGGGATGTTGGAGGAGAGGTTAGAGGGAATGATAAGAATGGTTTTGAAGTTTCTTGATGCCACATAATTAACATTGTATTTACAAAAGGTGACAAAGAAATTTGAGAAAATCCAGCAATCGACTTTGATAAAAGACTAATTGATAATTTTCAAAACTAGAAAAACTTAACTTAGAAAATCATAAACAACATAAGGATTAAATTATAATTTACTCAAACATAATTCATAAATTACAATAGATAGGTACCAACATTCATGACGGGAAGCATAACTGTGTTAACAAATTTTAGGGGGAAAAAAGAAAAGAAAAGAAAAAGACAACTTTGCAGCTATATATATATATATACACACACATATATAAAGAAAGAAAGAAAGTCAAAAGCTTCCGCTACTATCAAACGAGCAAGCTGCAACAGAAGTAATGGCACCATAAGCGCACACATTTTCTTTCAACACAAATTTTTCAAGCAAAATATCATATTTCATATGTCATTCCAACCCTGAGGAGCCTTGCTCGTGGGATTGCCAAAAATTTCTCCCCTTCTCTGAAGTTCTTCCGCAGGAAAGAATACCCGTGGTTAACAACTAGTCTCTTGAACCAGGATGATTTTGGTTCTGCCACCACTTCTGTTTCTCCTAGCAGATAAACCACACCTTTCTCCATGGCCTTTTGTACGAACTGGATCTCTTCTTCAGCACCTTTAGCGACCGGGGCAGATGCGATCCCAGCAGAAGAATTTGAAGACTTGATTCCCGTGCCGATGGACTGGATGGAACCTGATGAAACACGAGGTGCTCTGAATGACTGATTAGGCTGTTGTAGTGATTCCTCAACATGAACTGTTGTTGATCGTTTTCCTTTTCCATCCTTCTCTACAGGTAGAGTGGAATGTTGGAAGTTCTCTGGTTCAAATGTTGATTCAATGTTGCCCCCTCCATTAATGAAGTATTCATGGCGGATGAATTCTTTCAAGTGTTCGACCAACTGCCTTTCGAACTCATGGGGATCCTCTGTCGCATCTTTGTATCCATACCTCACTACACAACGGAACATACGGAACTCTTTCGGCTCAATCTGTCGGAACAGAAATCGCTCCTCCAGTGCCACTTTACTTATTGGAATAGACTTAATTGAAACAAACACTAGAACTGAATGCGTGGAAGGTATGTTGGAAATGAAGTGAGGGAATATTGGAGGAATGCCCTGCACAAGCTCAGAGTACAAAAGTCCTATTCCTGGTAGCTGGTTCATATTTGCCTTTGCCGCCAGTTGTCTGATATATTCGCTAGAGACCTTGTTTCTAAGCTCGTATATGTACCTTTCTCTGTGCACATAATGCCATATCGCCATGGCCATCATCAAGAACAAAGATAATGCTAGTGGAAGGTACCCACCCTGTTTGAACTTGTACAGTACAGCTGATAGATAGACGACCTCTATAGCACCGAATACAAAAAAGAAAAGAGTAATCGATAATATCCTTGCCTTCCATATAACTAGCATTATAAGTGTAACCATACAGGTTGTCATAACCATAACAGCAACCACAGCAATTCCTGCATGCAGAGAAGTCTGTCATTCATTTCACTTGTGATAGAGGAAATGCATATCGTGAATAATAGTCGTCCACACTTAAGATGTTGTGTTTGTTAGTTTCATTGCAAGACATGATTTTGTTTCAGGTTATATAGGAGATTAGTAATTCTTGGGTTCAGGAATTAAGAATTCTAAGCTCTTCAATAAAACAAATTGAGCCGCTGAAATTGAATTTCCTGGTTGCTTACCATAGGCATGCCCGATCTTTTCAGTTGTCCTGAATGCCAAAGTGACGATTACACAAGCAACCATAAGCATGTAGTTGACCTCAGGTATGTAAACCTGACCCTCATACTTAGCAGAAGTGTGAACAATCTTAACCCTGGGAAAACAATTGAGAGACAGCGATTGAGAAACTATTGCAAATGCTCCTGATATCATGGCTTGGCTAGCAATAATTGCAGCAGCAACAGCAATAACAAACATTGGCCAATATAATGGATCTGCACATCAATGGAAAATAATTACTCGACTATTTTATGCTAATAACTGTGACTAAACAAAATATTTCATCCATTATGATGAAAATTTTTTTTTTTTAGATGGTTAATTGCAGCTGTTTTTCCTGCCCACTTGGTTTTTACCTGGCGTGGACTTGTAGAAGGTATCAGACACGTCATTCGGAAATTTGGTAAGGTATGCTGCTTGCCCACCATATGCAGCTAGTAATGCAGGAAACACTATGCTGGAAAAACTAATCTGCAAATAGAAGCACATAAGATCTGTCATCTTTAATCTTAAGTTGGCAGAATAATGGGAGTCTAGCAATAGGTTACATCATCAATTTATATTAGTCTAGTAGTCACTAGTCGGCTTTCCGTGTTACGTCGCAGGCCGAACTAAACATATTTATTTTACTCTCATAATATGTATTATGTTGTTGATTAGCTAAAATATATTAAATTTGAAATAAAAGATAAATTTTCATAAAAATTTTATAGTTTTTAATCAAAATTTTGTATTTATGTTTTTAATAAATTTTGTAGTTAAAAAAACACAATTTATTATTTTTTAAAATAAAAACTCATAATAATCTAAATATAAAATTTTAAAGAATATTTTAATAATTTTTTCATATCTTTGCATTGAAGAAATAAATCAATAATTAATATAAAAATTTTTTAAAAATAAATCTTTTTTTATCCTTATTTAATACTAATGATAAGATTAACTTTTTGAAAATATGTACATTTGATTTATATATATTTATTTACAAAATAATGAATAATATTAGTATAAAATTGTATTTGAATTATTAAGCAATTCTTTTCAAATATTACTTAATTAATTTATTTGAATATTTTAATTTTAAAATATTAAAAAAATAATAGGATATGGTTGATGTTATGTGCGTAGATGTATAATTAATTTTTAATAAAATTAATTATTTTAATTAATTAATTATTTATATACATCATGCATAACCATACTCAGTAAGTTAGAATATTCAGCATAAATAAAAAATATTATTAAAAAAATTTAAGTTGTAAAAAATACATTGATGTTAATATGATGCAATAAAAACGTATATAAAATTGATTTCGATAAAATTTTGATTTTATAAAAAATAAGCAAATAAAAAAAGTAAATTCTATTTTTAAAATTTGATTATATAAAAAATATGCAAATAAAAATAATTAAAAAACACTTATTCGAAAATTTATATATAGAGAAAATAAATCATATTTTTTAATAAATAAAATTATATTAAAAAAATATTTTAGAAAAAAATAGAAATCAAAGTGTAATAATTGTTAAAACTTGCATATTAAATACCTAAACATCGGCCAAAAATTATTAAAAAAAAATCATATCAAATGCCTAAATAAAACTTAAAAAACATTTAATATAATAATATTAAATGAATTGTGCTTATGGTTATAGATAAATAATAAGTGAATAGTAAAATGAATGTGAATGAATAATAATTTAATAGTAATCACTCCAAATTTCTTAGATTTTCTTATAATAATTAAGCAATATTGTAATCATGAGATCTATAGCACAAGAACATGATCATTAATCCAATAAATCATCATGATTTTCGGTGCTTGCTTGGTGCTCTCTCTTGTTCAATTTTCAAATTTCTAAGGAGGCTTCCGTAGCTATAGCTGAAGAGAGCTAAAAGAGGATTAGAAATGATTATATATATACTAACTTGAATTGCACGGACGCTAAAGTGACCCAGATCAGCAAACATAGCTTCAGTCCCTGTCGTTCACCTACTACGTTATAGAAGAAAATTTACGGGGCAAAAAGAGAAGAAAAAGATAAGTATCGCATAAACAGACTCACCTGTAATGCATAGAACCACTCCACCAAGTGAAATCCATCCTTGCTTGCCATTTCTTTTGAAGTAATCGATTATATATTTTGGGTTGAAGGCACGTAATACACCAAGATCATGTTTGAACAAATTGAAAAGACCAATTCCACCAATGAATGAAAACCACAAGAAGATAACGGGGGCGAAAGCAAAGCCCACTTTGTCAGTTCCAAAACGCTGAACAGTGAATAGGACAATCAAGATTGCAATCGAAATACCCACAACGGTATCTGGATAATTGACCAAACTCAATGTCATTGTAAGAAACAGTCCATGGTTTCATATATACGAGAAGACTATCAGGTGGATCATGAACCGTGTAGTGCGAGGGTTGGACAAATAACATCAATATGTTTACTTATATATCGTATATATAGTGTATTCCGTGTAAAAAAAAAAAATCCCAGTATTTTATTTTTCATGTTTGAAAATTGTTAGTGAAGATGTATTCTAGTACCTTCACCAAGAGACTTGATCCCACTAACTGCTGAAAGAACTGCCGAAGAACATTTAATCTCACAAGTCAGGATTTCTTTGAAAAACATTAACGAATATATCTGCTCATATAAGCTAGCTGAATATATATAGTTGGCTGCAGACAAACCTGAAATGCATGGAGTCAGAACGCCATCTCCAATGACCATGGAAGTTCCCAGAATGGTTACTAGGAAAAGTATGATTTTAATGGTTTTACTACTTTCCATCTTCTCTTTAATCACTTGAGCCCGCCACAACTGATTGGATGGCGTGTCAAGCTTGTAGTTGGATAGTTGGCTGTCCTCTGGCTGGTCATTTGGAATTAAGCTCACCTTTGCATATCGGCATATCAATGAATAGAGTGCAAATGTTCCACCTGTTCATGAGAACATCTATTAAATTGTAATCAGAGTTTATAAGATAATATGGTAATGCAACCCTCACAATGTCCATATCAGAGTTTCCAGCTCCTGAATGGCTCCCAACAAGGCAACAACATGATTAGAACAGCTCCCACACGATGTTGTGCTGATTAGTCAATGAAGCCGCTAGGCTTTTGTCATCTAAGTTTCTCAGCATAAACAAATAGTACATAGTAACAAGGATGTCAATAATTTCCGGCACTTGTCCCTTTAAAATATTCAACATTAATTTGAAAAACATGACCGAGTCATGCATGTTATCTTAGTAAAATGATTTCTTAAACATGCCAACCTTGTTTTTGTATATCACATTACTGAATTAATTACATGTTCTCTTTTCTTAAATATTATAGGTGATAGGAAAACTTCCGAAGTTCGGGAAACTGATGGCGTACCTTCAATCCTTGCGTTCGTTCTCATTTAATTTCGAAGGAATTAATGGTTATAGTCCATGATTGTTATCAATAAACAATAACCTTGATTTGGTAACTTACCATCACCATGATCGTTGGCTCTGAGCACGATGAAGACGTACTTAATCATTGGCACGAGCACTATGGTATAGATGATTAGGGAGAATACCCCAAGAAGGTCCTCGTTTTTGTGAATAGTACCGTCGGTGAAAGTGCTTGCGTATACGTAAAGTGGAGAGGTTCCTATGTCTCCATACACCACTCCAATGCTTTGAAATGCCAAGCTCAACGTCCTCATCCAATCGATCTGCTCATTTACACTCACAATAAAAGTTAAATAATGTGAATGCATGTATGATTGCCAGAAAATTACACAGAAGAACAAAGGTGATTGATGACAGACCTTAGCGGTGTGGCCGTGCGACATGGAAACTCTTCCAGCCTCCAAATTGAGCGAGTCGACGCGACGCAGGTTTGCCCATGATATCTTTCGCTCTTTCAGCTTAGTTTCTACATCTGTAGTTTGTGATTCTTCTGCTATTTCCACTTGATTTGTTTCCGCCATCTTCTTCTTACTCCTATTAATGTTTCCTTTCGGAAAGCTGCCTCGCTGCTCTGGATTTATAGGCACTGAATTCAGAGATGATTATTTTTTTACTATTTATTCTCTCATCAAGAAATATATATATATATATATATATATTCAGAAGAGTCGTGTGTGCTAGTTGGATCCTAGCAGTATTTCTTTTTTTATTTTTCTTTTTTCTTCCCCCTCTGATTTAGTTGTTTCTATTATTGAAGTCAAGTGGTTTATCTTGTTTGGCCTACGAGAGAGCATGACGCCTTGATGGGAATGGAGAAATTACTCACCAAACAGACGAGCTTTTCCATTATGATTTTTTTTTTTTTACTATTTTTTGTCTTAATATCACTTATACATTATATTTTAGTTATCACTAGCATGTATCCCGTTCATTGCCGCGAAACGAGCTACAGAGCTTTCTCATATATATGTTTACTATAAAAAATGAAGAGTTCTAACAATTATAAAGTAATAAGACAGTTTAAAAAAATATAGAAAAAAATTATTTTAAAAAAATTTAGATAAATCCTACTTTATATGAATGAAAAATAAAGAATCTCAAATTGACTTTTTATCAAACAATAATAAGAAAAAAAAAAACCAAATAATGGCGACAATAAAAACCATTCTATGCAAAACAATTATTTTAAAGGATCATGTGAAAAAAATTCAAAAAATTTGAAAAGAAAAGCTTGTGAAGTTGAGTAACATAATATTGCTAATTAAATATTACTTGATATTATGGGACATTTTATTAAAAACATGCAAAAAAAAATGAAAATGAAAATAATAATGTGATAGCTTTTTGAATCTTCGATGGTAACAATTTTCACCATTTATTTTTTATTTATAATTTATTTATCTTGATATGATCAAACTTATAAGATATTATTGGATAAAAAAATTATAAAAAATATTATGTCGAGATAAACGAATGGATCTACGAAACTCTGCTTTAGCTTAATGCAAAACAAATAATGGAGATTTTATATACATATAAATGATAAAACTTTAACGATCAAACTAAAACAAAGATTACGTAACGAACACAAATTAAAAAAAAATAAAAAATCACTAAAAGCCAAAAAGGGCACATGAACAGTAAAAAAACAATTATGCATAAAGTAGGAGCAAAATCACATATAACAAAACTTCAATGATAAAAAAGAAAAAAAAAGAAAAAAAGTAAGGATTACATAATAGAGATCAAAACGAAAAGAAACCTTCGGGTACAAGAAAAAAAAAGGCTTAGAAATAGTAAAATTTTAGAGATTACATTATCTCCATATAAAAATAAAAAGTTTAATTCAGTCATTTTTTAGGTCTTTGATTTTTTTATTATTCTATATTCATATTTGATATCAAAACTTATAAAATCTTTTCATTTACACTCCTAAATATTACTAATTTATCTAAAAAAATTAGGTTATTTATTTAAATAATAGGCATGATAATTTACTCTAATAATGTATTAAAATCAAATCAAATAGCTTATTTTTAATAGTCCAATAAAACATTTTAAGGAAAATTAAGATAAAAAAATAAAAATAAGCATAATAAGAGTAATTTTAAAATTTGAAGGATCTAGAACTAAAATTTAAAAGAAAAGAAAAGCTTGCAACATGCGAGGCTAAAAATTACATGACTTAAATAACAATAACCAAATTAGAGGTAAGATAAAAAAAATAGGGACCAAAATAAATAAAAAGTTCACAAAAAACCAAAATAAGAAGCTTAGCTACAATACAACTCTGTTTTGTTTTAGTATATTTACTAGTCGGTTGCCCACACCTTGTTGCATGTACGACAAAACAAAATTATTCTAAAACTTTATAATTTTATAATTAAATTTTTTATTTAATTAATTTTTCTAATGTGTTTCATAAATTTTCTACTTAAAAAAACATAGTCATTCTTCTTTATGGATTGATTTTTAAATAAAAATTTATAATAATTTAAACTGAAATATTAATCAAGAATTCAAAAATAAAATTAATATTTTTTATAATATTGTATCCTAAAAATAAAATTATAATTAATGTATAGAATTGTGCAAAAATAATAAATGAAAAAAAAATTCTTATTTAATGCTAATGAGAAGATTAATTTCTAACGTTATCTACACAACGTTGTGTGTTGGATAAAATAAACTAATTTCAAAATTTTATAATTTTTTCATTAAATTTTTTATTTAATAATAATAATAATTTATTTTTTTCATAAAATTTATACTTAAAAAAACATGATTTATTCTTCTTTATTCATTGATTCTTAAATAAAACTTGTAATACTTTAAATTAAAATATTAAGTAAGAATTCAAAAGCAAGTACTTTAAAAATATATTCTTTCATAAGAATATATCTAAAAAATAAAGTTACAACTAATGTATAGAGTTGTATAAAATTAATTGATAAAAAAATAAAACTTTATTCTTATTTAATATTGATGTGAAGATTTTTTTTTAAAAGTATATGCATTTGATCTATGTATATTTATTTATAAAATAATCAATAATGTTAGCAAAAAAAACTATATATTGAACAATTGGTTGGTACCTTTAAAAAATTATTTTAATTATTTTATTTCAAAATAAATTGGTTCTATAATGTTAAAAAAAATATTCATAGAAAATATTCCTATTATGTGTAAAGATATATAGTTAATTTTTAATAAAAAAAGATGATTATATATATATATATATATATGCATGCGTGCGTGTGTGTGTGTGTGTGTGTGTGTGTGTATATGTGTGTAATTATCATTTAAAAATTCTAAGAATTCATGGTAAATAATATACTAATTTATTTTTTAAAAAGAGAAAAAAATCATGTTTTGAAATTTTATTCTAAAATTCAAACATAGAAAAAAATAAATTATATTTATCAATAAATAAAATTTTATATAAAAAATATTAATCGGATGAGAATATTCATAAGAAATGATAAATTCAAAAAATAAATTTTAAATAATAAGAGTAAAGTAAACTAAAATATATGTTAATTTAAAATATAAAAGGATAGTATATATATTTTAGCTTTGCTATGTTGTGTGATAGTATATATATTTTATTCTCGGTACATTGCGTGAAAAACACAAATAATAATGTTTGATTTTCTGTAATTTTGGCTAAAAATCTTTATTTAAAAAAATCAAAGGAAAAAAAAAAACAAGAACCATGTCCGTGTGCCTAGGCTAGATTGCTATGAGGACCAAACCCTTAAGGGCTTGGAAAAAAAAATTATATTTTGAATTTCCAACACCTCTATAATTTTTGGCAATTTTGATTTCGTTAGAAAAGTTGCTAGAAAGTCGAGCTTCTTAAGTTTGGTCTTCCAAAACCAAATTCATCCTCATTTATCCAAAAAGCCCTCAAAATCACATCAATAACATAAAAAAAAACTCTTTTAGAATCTCAAAAGTCATTTTAATGCAAAAAGAAAAAACACAAAATTCAAATTGAAATAAAAAAAACTTGAAATATTTTTGAATCTCAATCTACCTTTTCGACTATTTCATTATTTACCACCACCATAAATGGATTCTACTCGTAGAGGTGAATATAATGGTGGTAAGGTCGCCCGTCGGGATGGCTGGAATGGACCTCGACATCCCTCTCTCTCCCTTGTTTCTCTCTCCTAGCATGCAAGGACCAAAATGAAAGAAAACTAAAGGTGCAGATTGAAAAAAAAAATGTTACAACATGAGGGGCAAAAATATAAAAAAAAACGTTTAATTTGTGTATTAAAGCCCAAAAATGCATAAAAAATCACGAAAAAACCATACGCAAAAATTATTTAAATTGCTATTAAGTGAATAGTGATTTTAGGCATACAAACAGTTCATAACATCATAATTACTTGTTCAAAAAACACGTACTTTTTATTTTCTTTTTATTAATTACGGTCTTTTGTTAGTTGGTTTAACTAATCTCGTTAAACTCTAACATGGGACATGATGAGATTACTTGCTAATGTATGTTTTGGTACCTAAAAGTTTTTATAAAAAAATTTATTTACTCCTTTTTTTATTTTTATTTCAAATAAATTCTGAATTAAAAAAATTCTATCATCATATTTTACAATAAATAAAATGTTAGGAAACGAATCAAGCAAAAAAATATAGTAAAAAGATAAGCACAATCACACAACTGAAAGATTTTACGTGATTCGACAATAATATCTACTCTATAACTACATTAAGATTTCTTATTAGGTTTTTTTTCAAATGACAACTACAAACACAAGTAATATTATTTTTACTTATAGTGTGGACATCTAAGATTATAAGAAGAAAAAAAAGCTTAATAGACATATACATATGATCTAATATTCGTAAACTTTATACTACGTATCATCATTATATCGATCTTCGTAATTTAATATGAAATTAGTCATTAAATGATTTTTTTTTCAATCATGTTCCTACTTGTTAAATTGTAAGCTTGTTTAATTTTCATGATAGATATATGATATTATGAGAAAAATTTTTTTAACAAAATCACAATAATATCAATCATAATATACATACATACATATATATATATATATATATATATATATATATATATATATATATATATATATATATATATGGCAAAGGAACATATTTCTTTTACGGTATCTCCTTTGGCTAGATTTTTGAAGTATCAATAATGCAGTAGCTCTGGGTCTCTATCACAATATTTTTGTTCATTATTGTCGTTTTTGAATATAAAACTCAAATAATTGCAGAGGAACCTATTCAAATATCTTAGGCTGACGGTTCAAATGGCCTAGTCTAATTATAGATTCTATGTGCCCTAGCTACATCAATGTTTCTGTGAGTTGTTGATTATTTTAACTGCATTATTTGTTCGAAGGTGGTGTTTTGTCCTTTATGGTGATGTCACTGTTCCCCAACAACTTCGTCAGAGAAATGTAAAAATGCTCTAAGATCTTATGGTGGAAAAATCTAACCACATTAAATTGAATTACTAGAAGAA